CAAAATCAAACTCGTTTCTTTAACTACACTGTTGTAGTAAAAATCACATGATGGTAAGGAAATAAAAGGTGCGTTCTCACCCTTATCATTAAATTGAAATGCCTTGTCACTACTAGTCTCTTGATCCCTGCGATCTTGACCTACGAAAATTTCATTTCATTTTATTTTATTTGGGTTGACTCAAAAATCAATAAATCCAGATGACAAATGGCGGGACATGCGAACAACGCTAAGTCCGGCTTTCACAGTCTGGCTTATCAAAATGCGCCAGATGATGCCGTTTATGTCAGATATAAGCAACGTTATACAATATTTAAATGGTTTGTTTATTTAAGCAAATTTTCATTACAAAAAAGCTACTACTCACTATATTCCATTGTATGGTGACATTGACAATGTCTGCTATATATAATAAGTCCTTCTCGAATATGCCAGACTAATTGGCAACGAAACGTAGTAGTTATAATGATATAATTAATTAAATCATTACAGACTACCAAAAGTCCACAGCTGAGCATATCTGATAGATTGCTTAAGACGGGAGATATTTGATATAGTTGCCACGTACGTGGCAACTAGTGCTTCTCTACTCTTTCAGATTTTCTTTGTCACCTTTTAAGACACCCGCCAGTTGGTATGGGATAGTGGACTCCATTACGCCGCCACTACACAACAACGACTAGTGTTAAAAGTCATCTAATTATGTGGTTGCAAATCCCACGCATTCAGCCTGAATATTGCAGTAAACTTCCTACACAATAGCAGAGTTCTACGTGCAGCACCGAACTAAATATAGATTCATAAAAAAAAAAAACAAAAGGAAGTATGGTTCACATTCTGTTACTAGTTGTGTATATACGTAGTGTGAAGAAAAATCTAAAGCATATAAAGAGGAAACATACTAAAATATACAATTGATTTTGTCATTAAATTGCATCTTGTGTCATTATTTCTAAATACTCAACTAAAATTATTAGTACCTGCTGCTCTCTGTCTCTAGCATAAAAAACTTTAGTTCAGTACAGTATGTAACAATTTCCTTATACTCGTATTGCGCTTTTAGGAACGTTACGGAAGTGGGTATCTGCTTTAATAATGGACAAAGTGTGCACAAAGGCTTATGAATTACCACGGCCTCGTGAAGGAGGCATAACATGCAAAGTAAATTTCACTTTATAATCTATTTCTAAATAAAATACATAAATATATTTTAAGTAATTTGATACATTCTTTAATTGTGATAAATTTTTTAAATACAGTTACGCCTTACGATGTCGTATATAATTTGGTAAACTCCAATCATATTGGACCCGAAATACTATCTAGACTCAGCAGTATTCGATTCTGATAGATTTTCAGATGAAAGGAAACACTATTTGGAATTAGTCCGCGTGCTTGTATCGGTAAGTTAGAGCAAAACTGGTCGCGAAGAACCTGGTAAACCGTGAAAGTAGACTGAATATAGACTTTATTCTCAATATATTAATTTTTCTTTTTCATCAGTCTTTACTGATTATGGGTATATTTTATAGATTTGCCCTAATTACCACGTTTGGTAGATGAAGTCCTACATTTATGACTTTGCTCCTCTCAGCTAAGCTTAGTCTAGCGTAAACGGGATGATTCTACTGCCATCTGACTGTTTGGCATATCGTGTAGTAGCCTCGTACGTCATCATGCGACAAAATTGAGCGATAGATTTTCTTATCATATCTTCTACTATTACATGCCTTAATCGCGAAGCACGCAGTTATGTTCTTCTAGGGCTTAAAAATTAAGATTCCAAAATTTTGTCGCAAGAAATCGTATCTAGCAATCATTTTATAATTATAAATGATATAAAAAGTACATTGTCCGAAAGATAATTGATTGTTGAACTTATTAATATTTTTATAAATCGATTTATTACTATTTTTACATAAAAATAAGGGTTTTTAGTGGCTTATGGTGTGGATTTATCAAGTCCGTATGGCGGCGTAAACACGATAACTTTTGAAAATATCAATTGTTCAACTCAATCTATTTTTAAAACTCTTCATCTATCATGTGAGAAGCTATGGAATGTAAATGGCAGTTTAATATTGTGTCGTTTAGTTGTAACAAATTTTCTTCAGCTAAGAAATGGCGAAATTTTCGGTGGTATTGTGGTAGCCTTGTATTAATTTATTTTACTAAATATGCCGCAGCCGCACTCCACGCTTAAATGCCGTCGTGAGTGTTCGTTTGTAAAGCGGCTCACGCAGAAAAATATCGATCGCCGTACAAAATATTACAAAAACCAAATTTGATACATACTTGATAAAGGTAAGATATTATTATTATTTTTATAATCACAGATTTTTATTACAATATGTTTTTTCCATAAAAGCACGCAGGATTTATATGTAAAGAGACCTCATTTGGTTAGTAATGATGAGACACTACCTCCGGACTTGAAAGTGTACTTCGGTGACTGCTACTGGAACTTTTTGACGAATAAAAATACAATTTTCAATTTTGTTTTTAAATTTTTTTCACTATCATTGGGCATTGGGAGTCATGCACTTTTGGATTTTCAAAAGATTCTAACATTACAACGACAACATTGTCTAATCTAATATGTCCTAAACAACATTTTTAGCTGTGTTTTCCGGGCCATCATAATTGAAACTATTAACAATTATTTCTGTGGATGTGGTGAAATATAGTTCCACTGCACATGCATTGACTATTAAGACAACAGTGTATGACTCATACATTACCTAGCGTTTATGAGGCAGACACCAATAAATAGAATAGTACGCCAAAGAATCTTTCTATGATGTTTTTGGCTCCCAAGGCATTGATTTTTCATATTTATTTTATTTTTATTTGTCACATATTAAATAGTAACAAAATGATCATATTTATTCACGATAACTTTTAAAGACAGTACCTTTCCTGCCATATACTATATAATATATGTACTAGAAAATAAAAAAATCATCATCATCTTCATTACAGTCCTTCAAAAGTTCACTGCACAACATTGCCACCTGCATTCATCGACTTCCTGCATATCATTGTCATGCAAAATAAAAGAATAGAATAGAATAGAATAGAATAGAATGATTTTTATTCAATATGGATTATTACATAATACTTATTGAAAGTCATTATTTTATTTACCACTGGTTCGGAAAATACCTCTGTCCTGGGAAGAACCAGCAAGAAACCCAGCGGGACTTTTTTTTTTAAACATAATTTCACTTAACAATAATTTTGATTATACAATTTTAAATGAATTTTCATAGAACCAGCATGGTGGCGATCACCTTATTCCCAGGGGTTATTTTCACTCATGTATTCCTTGATATTATAATAACCCTTTTTGTACAGTTTTTCTTTAATAAAACTTTTAAACTTGTTTATTGACAAACTTTGAACATGTTCTGGGATTCTGTTGTAAAAGCGTATACATTGCCCCATAAATGAATTACTAATTCTGTGGAGTCTTGTAAGTGGCATTACAAGCTTATGTTTGTTCCTAGTGTTTAAGGTATGAACATCCTTATTCTTATTAAAGCTATTTATGTTTTTATGTACATACATTACATTTTCATAAATATATTGCGATGCCAAAGTTAATATGTTTATTTCTTTAAATTTTTCTCTAAGGGACTCTTTACAATTTAGATTATAAATCGCCCGTACGGCTCTCTTTTGCAAAACAAATATAGCTTCAATATCAGTCGCATTACCCCATAGCAAAATTCCATAAGACATTACGCTATGAAAGTAACTAAAATACACTAACCTAGCTGTCTCAACATCTGTGAGACTTCTAATCTTTCTTACAGCATATGCTGCAGAACTAAGTCTGCTTGCTAATTTAGATATATGGGGGCCCCATTGAAGTTTCGCGTCAATAGTAATACCGAGAAAAACAGTGGTATCCACAAGACTCAACTCCTCCCCATTTAAGAGCACATTGGTTTTCGAATGTTTTACATTAGGTATTGTAAATTTAATACATTTTGTCTTATTGCCGTTTAAGAGCAAATTGTTGGCGTTAAACCAATGTACTAGTTTCGATAGAGCATTATTTACATCGTCATATTTAATTAAAAAATATAACATTTGACTTATTAACTGTTATTTGTATTTTATATTTTTAATGAGGATATTTTTCGACGTTTGGTGGTGTGTAGTTTGTGAAGTTTTCTTTTCTATGGTTGGTATTTTACAAGAAATTTAAATTGAATTAATAGAAGTAAGGACTTATTTAATAAAAATAAGTATCGGAAGAAGAAGATAGAAGAAAAAGTTCTAAATAATTATGAAATTAAACTGCCAGTAATAGATGGTGATTGTGAAATAAATAGAGAAAAATAAGCGAGCTGTGCGTAAATATTAAATTTTGTAAAATAAAATCAGGAAATCAGTTGGAATTAAAACAGCTCTTACTTTATTACCGAATATGACGTATGAAGTGTCGAACACAAAGCAATTAATTGACAATATTGAATATTACTACTTTTCACTTACTAAACCGGAATGTAAACAAAGTAAAATTAATTGTGTCTAAAAAGTAGAACATTTCAGGTCGTAAAATTAAAGTAAGGTACTAGTTATGAAAGCGTTAAATATTTACTGATTGATATGAGGCGTGAGTTATTATCGAAGAAAGCAGTGACGGCCGTTCAAAGCCGAATGCAAAATATCAAAGAAAATAATTCTTCTATTGCCGATTTTGAAAGAGTTATCAGAATTATTTGTTGACCGAACGATTTCGCAAGCTAACGGTTAATACAGAATGTTACATTTTAAAACCAATAAATGTCAAATTTGCACTGACGACTTACGAAATCGTAGGCTTAGTACCATAATTTCCGTTTGATATTACAGGTCGCTAAAAGATGCCATTCAGGCAACCGAAGATGAAGACATCTCTTTATGTTCAACTTGAGAACAAATTTTTGGTATGTATAAACATAATCATAATTATTCCAATTACAGAAGGTACTCAACAGTGGTTAATAATGGCCATTATAACAGTGCCAGGGGATCATTTGGTTGCTACCACAACTGCCGAGATATTTCATTCCGAGGACATGGACAGCGAGATCCACTTAGCTATCAATGGGTTGGAATCATCAACCGTCATCGCGCGGCAAGGATACGCGTGGACGCAGAGGCCAAGGTACTTTCTATAATGGTAGGCCAAATCAAGGGACAGGCTGAACAAGACAGTCTCATAACGTAAATTTTACCTCTAAAATACTTGATTATAGCAACATTATTTACCTCAATACTCAAATAGGTTTTTTTGAGACTAAAGAGATCATCAAATATTAGTATGATAGGATCTACATATCTACATAGATAGTAGATGTAAACAACAGCAGCAACAGTAACATTAAATTATTTTCTGCATCAAATAACTGATAAAATTCATTTCTCGTAGATACGATTGTGTCAATATCAGCTCTGAAATATAAACATGCAGTGCAACATAATATTCCTATCCATAAACAGCAACTTGTAACAAATGTACACGGAGGCAAAGTTCATGCTATCGGATATGTTTATTTATTACTACAATTAGAACAGAATGTGAAACATAAGTTTTATGTGTTTGAAACTTTACCAATTAAGTGAAATAGAATTCTGGGTTGTGATTTTTTAAATACGTTCGACGTACAGTTAGAGTTTCATAAAAATTACTTAATTTTACATACGAATTAGAATGTAATTTGTTTACCCTTTTTAGTTCGATTGAGATTCCAGCGCGAAGCGAATCTTTACATTACATTCCAACTTAATTGAACGAAGATTGTGTTGTGTGTTCAACTAAAATACAAGATGGCATCATTTTGGCCACTTCAATTGTTACACCTACAAGTGGTTTGATTCCCATAAAAAATTAAATGTAACAGAAAATAACTTTGTGTTGCCAGGAATTACGCCAACAATATATAAGTTAGTTTACTATAATATTGTGTTTTCTATAAATGAATCCCTAAAGCAGATATAGTAAAAGAATTACTACTTTTGTTACAAATATATCGTATGTTAAAAGAAGGTATAATCGTATTTTACAGTTTTGATTATTTAAGATATTTTTTAAGATAATTGTTTACATATATCTAGCAAAATGTTTCTGTAATAAATGTGAATTAGGTTAAAATAATATTTTGTTTTAAACATTTTAGTTTTAAAATAGCTATTTACATTTTATATACCGTCTGTTAGCATCAGTATCTACTTGTTAGTCTGCATATTGTGCTGTCTATAGCCATTTAGTATCTGCACACAATATATATATATATATATATATATATATATATATTATGTATGTTCTTATTGGGATGATTTGAAGGGAAAAATTGTAATCACATTTGTTTAAATTTTTTATCTTTTGTTTTAACTATACAACTAAATAAAACTTAGTGTCTGTTTGTCATATCAAAATAACAGCTTTTTACTAAATACAAATGAAAGTATACACGGTACTTATAACAAAAATATAACTTTTGTAATTTTTGTATGTCTGTCTGTCTGTTTGTTCCGGCTAATCTCGATTTCGACGGGAATTTCCCTGGCAGATAGCTGATGTTATAAGGAGTAACTTAGGCTACTTATATTTTAGGAAAAGAGTTAGGGTTCTGCGCAACATAATTAAAATCCTAAATTACACGCGGGTGAAGTCGCGGGGCACAGATAGTCTACAATAAAGTAAATAAATAATTTTGAAAGCAATGTGTACGAAAATAAGCTCTTAAACTGGAATTCAATTTATTTACTGGTGGTACCAGGAATTGGAATTAAGTAAATACTTTTCATATCATCCCGTGGGTGTCGTAGGATAGGATATTGGGAGCGAATCAGGAGATGGGCAGCCTCCTCAGAAGCATCTTCCTGATAACGACTAAAAATATGGTTTCTCTGATTCCACCACTTCAATGGAACGGTGATGATAAATATCAGCTACTATCGTATTTACTGTCAGTTTTTAGTCGCTGGCTACTCGCATGATACAAGGTTCGAAGGTTACAATATATTATTTTATGTTATTTAAACTAAATTTTTAGGTATATTGAAGGTACTTCGCCAGTCATACTTATTAGAGATACGGATGTGATCAAGTATATTACAGTCTAAGATATCTATCATTTTGTAAGCCATAAAATGTTCTTTCCTGAAGATAATGAGCCGATGTTTGGTCTGATAAAAGTATATACATTTGATACTAATATAACTTACCGAATATTTCACACACGGTTTACAGAACTAATACTTTGTCAAGCGTGACAAAAACGACAATTCCTTTAAAACTTAATGCTCAAAAAAGACCTAAAATACGAAACAATGCAGAAGTAAATCTTTATTTTCATACGTTTTAATTAATAATCATGTGTTTTCATGTCGATAATATCATGACACTTGTTTGTTTACGAATTGATAACAATTAAGTTCGATGTACTAATAATATACAATATTATCTTAAGAATTGTTGATATACATACATATGTATATACATGCGAAACGTACTTAAATATTATTGTAAAAGTAAACATATATATGTCATTATACTATGAGGTTGATTGTTTGGTAAACGGTGTCATCCCCACCAATTATTACCCAACAGAGGATGTGATTGTGATTGATGATTTATTTTTAGATAATTTATTATGAATCCCCAAGTGAAATGAGTATGGGAACCCCTTAATATTTGAGAAAAAAATTAAGTATTATGTATACGCCAAAACAAAATGATCAATATAATCGTAGCTTATATATTACAAAATGATCAATATAATCGTCGTCTCGGGCTTCTGTACAATTCCCCGAAGGGTATGTTTGTGATCTATGGTGCTAAAACCTTTTCGGAGTCGGCTTGTTTGGGAGGCTGGAAGTCGTTGAGTTTGCGTGCAAGACGATTCGTAATGACTCTCAAAAATAGTACGTGGACGCGGCTGAGAAGGGAAATCGGTCTGTGGTTTTCAAGAGAACATTGTCGCCATTCTTGAAAACGAAGACCACCACATTTCTACTGCACGCCTCCGGAGTAGTGCTCTCATGGAGGACGGAAATAAAAAGCTTCTGAAGTCGTTTTCCACACGCTTTCAGATTTTCTGCTGTAATTCAGTACCAGTTTTCCACACGCTTTCAGATTTTCTGCTGTAATTCCATCCTCTCCCGGTGCCTTGCGGTTTTTAAGGTAATGGAGAGCCATTCTTATCTCGCTCAAACTGACGTCTGTGATGTCATTGGAATAGTGTTGGTCAATACTTGCTCTTAGATCGTTACTCACACTTGCGTGTGTCTCCAACGATGACGTGTACAACTGCCCGTAGAACCTAAAAATCTCACTTAAAAATCTCAGGTGCCCGGGAACGATGCTAGCACATTCTGTCTTTAGCTTTGGCATTTAATTTTAGCTTTGAGTTGGTTCTTTCTGGCAAACGAATCTCTGGCAAAGACTTTGGAGATTTGGTGCCGCTTGATTGATTCTTCAATACGAGCTGTATTATGTCCTGTCGCTAGTCCTGCCGCATGCATTTGGAGATCTGTCTGTTTAATTGACTGTATGATATCAAATTTGCTGAAGGCTGCAGCTTCATTTCTCATGTAACAGCCATGAGGTTAAAAGTATGATCGGAGACTTTTTGTGTACTTCTGCGACGGGTCTTGCAGAACTTAGATAAGAACGCATGGACATTTTTTACTATCATGTCATTCACATCGACCACTGTATTGCAGAACTCTAGGAACGGAAAACAATTTCGTATATTTTTATAGTTTAAAAGACTATTTTGATGACAAAGGAGCATTAAACAGTGTCATTCCAGTTCAACGCCAAGCCATTCAAATTTGTAACTTACTATTGTTGGTATGAATACATTACACGTAATTACTAATACGTGGATGGTTTTCAGAGGAGAATTGTAAGTGGCTCATGGAGTGTGTTTTAATTGTGTTCATTAAGTTGTCATAATTTTGTGTAAAAGCTTTTACAAAAATTTACTTCGCAAATATCCGCGTTATAAAATAAAATGATGTGTCTTACCTAGTATGAAGAAGCACCTCCCGCCCTCCCTCAATTGCGTGCACTATCCCCGTCACCACTAATCCCAGCACCGCTATTCCCAACACCACTACACTAGGCAAGACACACCACTGACGATAATACGACACGTGTTTCGCCTCTACACGAGGCATCCTCAGGTGATATAGACTCTACGGTGGCTAACCGTCGTCAGTGGTGTGTCTGGCCTAGTGTAGTGGTGTTGGGAGTAGCGGTGCTGGGATTAGTGGTGACGGGGATAGTGCACGCAATTGAGGGAGGGCGGGAGGTGCTTCTTCATACTAGGTAAGACACATCATTTTATTTTATAACGCGGATATTTGCGAAGTAAATTTTTGTAAAAGCTTTTATATCATGGATTTCCGCAAAGTAACGCCTGATTCTATTAATTATAATTTTGTGTGTTTTCGAAGATAAATTTAAATGTATGAAGGATTTGAGTATGAATGTCATGCTCGCTAAAATGTAGCTTTCGGCGGTGCAGTGTTAGAGTTGCACTTTCCTTTAATATAGTGAAGGACGACGATGGCTGCCATATTGAAAATTGAATTGAAAATTTATTTATTTGCTCACCATAGAACCGAATAAATATATTAATACTAAAAATTAATAGATATTAAACAAGAATGTTTGGGGATCGCTGGCGCCCGAAGAAGGTAATTGAAACTTGAGAAATACAGTCACTAGGCCCCCATCTTAGTTACCAATAATCACTAAGCTTTTAAAATTATAAATATAGATGTGAGTGCGAGAATTTATGATTGCGTGCGTATATATGCACGAACCAATCAGCTGAGCGCTAATCATAAATTTAAAATATACTAATGACATTTTTGAACCGCTACTAATACCATTAAATTGGTCTAATGGTCTATTGCGCTTGCACGAACGCCGTATGTCGTGAGATCGATTCTAATCCGATTGTGACAATAACGTTTTTTCTTAGAATAAATAAATTTTGGTTATACAACAAAAGTTAAAACATTTACAATTTATAATATACATCTGAATCTGAGTATACCTACTATTAGAACAAAAAATAGTATTTGTATGGATTATAACAGGTACAACTTAAGGCACGACAAAACGATTTTATAAACAGTCTGAACTTTTAAATAACTTTTCAAATCGCACTAACGAATGTCATAGATAATTATTATACGACGCATGACAAAAAAATACTATACGATAAGGCACTCTACATACTATGATTTATTTTGTGAGTATTTAAGATATATGAGATTCAGGATTAATTATAACTATTTAAAAATGAAATCAAAAAAAAAAACAAGAAAATGTGACAGTTAGAAGACCGGCTAAGTGTAACTCGGAAAATGACTTGACGAGACTAGAGAACGATATGACATCATTGTCGTCAATGTTATTTGACAATACCATGGACAGTTTACCGAATTTATCTACAATTGAGAACCCTAAAGTAGTTGAGTTAAAAATAAATACTGATAATTTAGCCTTAAAACTGCAGTCAGGGCATAACGAAATTGAAAATCTAATAACCGAAAATTTTAAACTTAAACGTGAGTTGAAAAATTGTCTAATGGTAATTTAAACACTAAAACAATTAAATTCAACTCAAAATAACGAAGCACGATCTAAAAACTCGACACCAAGAAAAAAGGAAACTAAACAAAATAAACTTAAACCACTACAAGATATCCTGTCACTATTGCTTATTAATACAAAATCTACAAATCAAGATTCTACGGCTGATAGTAGTGTATCTATACTATATCTACAGGTACTAATGATATATTAACTAAACAAAGTAAAACTGAAACTGCAACATACACTTATACATACTCTGACAGTAATATGCACAAAAAAGACAACAGTAATATGCGGATCACTAAAGGAAATAATAGTTTTAGCAACAAATCTGAAACAGCGTTAAATGTTCAACAGTAAGATGCTGTAAATAAAGTTATAGACAAGGATAGCATATCTACTAATATTACTAATAAACGGTCAATATTAGGGGATCGTATAACTGCAAAAAAGAAAATCATAATTATTGCTGTTCAGTATGGGAAAAATGTCAGACAGTCATTGGGAAAACTTCTGAGTCCCGAATATCAAGTTTACTGCTTTATTAAGCCTGGTGCCGAGTCAAGCGAAGTGTTTGTGTGGTTGAAATGATTGTGTGGTTGTACTCACAGGATCTAACGTTCGTAATGCTTTTAAATTAATATGTAACTTGATGAGTTGCGTCACCTCATGCCTAAATACAAATGTAATTATATCGGAGGTTCCACAAAACAATTACCTAAAGTTATTTAAGCTAAATTACGAACTAAAGTTCTTATGTAGCAACTTTTAGCGAACGGTGTTTTTGGATATGGACTATTGCAAATCTATTCCGCGAAGAAATCTGTTTGCTTTGAACTTATCGAAGTCATTACTGAAAGAAATTTTAAGTATTGGTTACAGACAAAATTATTTAAATTATATAAAGAACGCTGCTTGTGTAACAGGAAACTCAAAATTGTATTCAAAATGTGATAACGCATGTCAAAAAGAAATTTGTAATGTAGCGATGGAAGGATCAGAGGTTAATGAACCCGATGTTTCTTCAAAGTTTTTTCGTAGTCAAAGTAAGTAAAACATAAACGGAATTGTTAACAAATCCGACTTACTTGCTGTGTGTGTATCGGAATTAAAAGATGAAAATAAATGATATGTATTATAAATGATATAAAAATGATATGTATATAATATGTAATGAAAATAAATAAAATGATTGGGATTATTTGTATAACCGAGCACAATATGGTTGAAGATGACATTAAACATCTATGTATACCAAATTTCAAATTAGCCTCAAGTTATTTGCGAAGAAATAGAAACGGTGGAGCTTGTATTTTAGTAGATTGTAATATTAAGTATAACACAATTTACGAAAATCAGGCTCTTTCCATTAGTAATGAAGTTGAATGCTGTGCAATTGAGCTTATTGAATTTGAAATAATTATAATATGTATGTACAGAGTGCCTAAAAATGCTGCTAGGGATATTGATACATTTTTAAATATATTGCAAAATATCTTACACAAGTACTGTTTTAAATCAAAAAAAAAATTGTTATTGTTGGTGATTTCAATGTTGACATGTTAAAGCCAAATATTTTGACAAATAGCATAACACAAATTTTGAGTAGTTACAATTTAAAAATTAAATTTAATGTACCAACAAAGTTTATGTACGTGCATAGATAATGCATTCCATAATTTCACAAACCTAAATAGCGAAATACGAAATTTTGCACTCTCAGATCACACAGCCCAACTGCAGAAAATTCCAGTAATGAAGCATCATGCAATGACATATTGGTACGTTTTCAAACGCGATTTTTGCAAAAAAAAATTAAAAATAATTTTAGATTGCCTAAACTCTTTCACATTCATTGAACTATTTTCTTTAGATAATCCTAATGACGCCTTTGATTATTTCTTTGTCATTTATAAATTATATTATGGTTTATGCTTTCCGACAATAAAGATAAGAATGTCTTTAAAAACAAAACCGAAATGGATTACAAAAGGAATTAAGTTGTGTAGCCGCAATAAAAGGAATTAGTTATGGAAATTTCGCCTTAATCCTGATAAAGACTCAAAAGATAAATTTAAATGGTACAATAAAAAATTTAAGAAAATTATCGAACTCACAAAACGATCACAGAATAACTATTACATAGCAAATGCAAAAAATAAATGTTTAGCTACGTGGAAGGTTATTGAGAATAACAGAACAAATGCCCCTATAAAACAAATCGACAAAATTATATATAATAATCGAATAATAACAAACCCGAAAGAAATATCTCAAACTTTTAACGATCACTTTATAAATATGGAGCATAAAAAACAGGTTAATGAAGAGAACGCAGGTAACTATTGTTTACAATTTAATAAGTCTTCGTCAATGTTTATGGCCCCTGTCACTCCTGTTGAAGTATATGAAACTATAAAATCACTTAAAAACTACCTAAAGCACAGGGTATGACGGAATAACTACTAAAGTAGTCAAAGAGACAGCATTATTGATTGCGGGTGTTTTATGTCATATAATAAACCTATGTATAGAGCAAGGCAAATTCCCTAAGTCTTCCCTAACTGTCAATAGTAAATCCATTATTTAAAAAAAAAACAGACAGATATGATGTTGGATGTTATTGCCCTGTTGCTTTGATTACTACATTTGCGAAAGTTTTTGAAAAAGTCTTATATAAACGTTTAAATAAATATCTTGAAGATAAGAATAAGGTACTCGTAAATGAGCAAAAAGGATTTCGTAAAAATAAATATGTAAACACGGCAATTTATGACGTGCTCAACAAAATTATGACTTGTGTAGACAAAAAAATACCTGTGGCCGCGCTATACATGGACATGACTTAGGCTTTTGAATTTGTGGATCACAAAATATTAATAAGAAAATTACACCAGTATGGATTGCGAGGGACAGTTTTAGATCTTTTTGAGTCATATATTACAGACAGAACGCAAATTACTAAAATAAGGAGAATATGTCCTATAAAGTTGACAGAGAAGGTTTATCGACATCCCGAGCTGTGTACTACGGCGTTCCACAAGGTAGCGTTTTGGGGCCACTCCTATTTCTTTTGTACATTAATGACCTTCCATCGGTGATACAACAATCTATGGTCCTATTTGCGGATGACTGTACGGTCGTTTATGAAGGAAATAATACCCAAAGCTATGAAGTTGAGATTAACAGTTTTATTGGTCTTATAATTGACTGGCTCGTAAAAAATAACTTAAATATAAATTTAGAGAAAACTAAAATTATGAAATTTAATTGGAAAAAAGATAGTTTATCAAGTATTAATATTTATTATAAAGGTTCACCAATGTATGAAACGATAGAAACTAAATTTTTAGGAATTATCATTGATGACCAACTGAACTGGAAGGCACAGGTCGATAGTGTTTGCAGTAAATTATATAAATTTTCATACGTCTTGTATAAGTTAAATAAAAGAGCATATACGCAAACACTTCGTATAGCATATTTTGGATACGTTGAATCAACACTTAAGTACGGTGTTATGTTTTGGGGAAACTCAGTGGATCGGGAAAACGTATTCAAAGCTCAAAAAAAGTGCATTCGAGCAATCAAAAATCTACACTGGACAGACAGCTGTAAACCACATTATAAAGAGCTGCAAATTCTAACTTTTCTTTGTCTTTTTATCTATGAGACGGCTGTGTTTGTCTATAGAAACCTATCATTGTTTGAAAATTTAAATAATAGAAGGTATCCCCTAAGATTAAAAATTCAACAATCAAAGTCAGTAAAAATGCGAAAAAGTATATTTTGCCTATCCATACCCATCTATAATAAAATACCCAATGATATAAAGAAAATAAATAATACACAAACCTTCAAAAAATCATTAAAAACATTATTAATTAATAAATCTTACTATTCTATTAATGAATATCTTAATGACATAGAAATTACATAATTATAATATTTGTATTTGATTTGACATACCATGTATTATATATTTGACATATTATATTATACTATGATAACCCGATGATATCGACATTTTTAATTTGTATTTTTTTTATATATATATTTTATTTCGTGACATAGCTTAAGATGCAGTGTTTATTTTTTGACTCGTGTATTTAACAATAGTAATAATAATATGAAAAGATGACATTTTTATTTACTTCAGTTTCTTTTCTTTCTTAATATAGACGTAAAGGCGCCATTACGAAATGTGTTATTTGTCATGGGTATCATTGCACGATGCTTTTCACTTTTGAATATTTAATACTACCTACACATAATGGCTTAATATGCCATTTGGAATCAGTTCCAAGTAATTTAAATTAGAAAATGAGACAATAGAGGTAATCTCTAGCAGTTATAATAACTTAAATAATTTAGAATGTAGCTTACAAATCTTTAATTGTATGACTCTACAGAGTAATAATGAAAATTGTTTACACCTGGTGCATCAAAATATACAAGGCATGATAGGCAAAGAGCTAGAAATTGAGTTGTTCTTAAATAGCAACAATATTCATATCTTATGTATTACTGAACATTGGTTAAAAGCTTATAATTTAATGTTTAACTTCAGTAATCACCAGGTGGTCAGTTCTTTCAATAGAGATACGGTTTTAAGAGGTGGCTCCTTAATATTAGCTAGTAAATTATTATCATGTAAAGAACGTAAAGACATTGTGAGCCTCTCTGTTGAGAGAACTGTAGAAATGGCATGTGTTGAGTTTGAGCACCTCATTGTTGTGAGCGTCTACAGACCCCCATGTTGTACATATGTTTTTATATAGAAGTGTCATATGAAGTTTTTGCTAAGCTTAATAAACAGAATAAATCTGTTGTAATATGTGGAGAATTTAATATCAATCTCCTAGAAATCCTGGTGTTAACGCTGGTGTTCCACAAGGCTGTGTGCTATCACCAACGCTGTTTCTTCTGCATATCAATGATATGTTGCTAACTGGTAACATTCATTGCTATGCGGATGACAGCACTGGTGATGCTCTATACACCGGCCGGGCCAATATTTCTCGGGAAAACGTCGCCGAGTACCGGAACAAACTTGTGTCTGAAGTCGAGTCTTTGCTGGACAAAGTCTCGGATTGGGGGCGACTAAATCTAGTCCAGTTTAATCCTCAGAAGACACAAGTTTGCGCGTTTACCGCTAAAAAGAACCCCTTTGTCGTATCTCCTCAGTTTCAAGGCACTCCCCTTCTTGCCTCAGCCAGTATCGGTATCCTCGGAGTCGACATATCGAGTGACGTGCAGTTTCGTGGTCACTTGGAAGAGAAGGCCAAATTGGCCTCTAAAAAGCTTGGCGTGCTCAGCAGAGCGGGACAGTATTTCATGCCGGCACACCGCCTGCAACT